TAAACGGCAACCCTTTTACAAATACCCTTCATATTTTGACTAATTTAGATATTCAACGGTAAGTTTTCTCCCTTAAAAAATGCCTCGTTCTTTAGCAAAGATTGGCGACCATGTCAATGATAACTTGAGAGAGGGTGCCTCAGAAATTGACGCTGGGATGAATAAATAAATAGACGTAGGTATCAGTCCTTACTGAGACTGAACTTCCAGCCCTTGCCCTTGAAAAGACGAAAAAACACCCACCTGACGCTAGTTTTCGAAAAGTAAAAGGTAAAAAACAAGAACCAAAGTATTCATCCTGTTCCTTCACGTACCACAGTCATTTTGCCTCCGAATAAGAATTTCTTATCTTCGAGTACGTCATCTATCGCTCGTAAATCGCGTCGTAACAATTCTCTTAGCTCATCTCGCGATAACTTTCCCAACACGCCATCTACTCGTTTTCTGATCTGAAAAGAACAACCTCGGGAATCATTTAATTTTCAAACTAGCCGGCCCATTGACCAGAGTTGTTTAGAGACTCCAAAATATGGGCTCTTAATTATAGCATGAGCGTGTCAAGGAAGAAAAAAAATCATGCTTCGGAAGACATGCGCATTACCATTAACTACCGGATGTATCACAACATTTCTTTTCTCTCCTCCGATTGACCTCGTTTGCACTAACTCTCACCTCTACCTTCAAAACTTTGTGTATATTGTGCCCTGCCCTTTACAAAACTACACTAGTATTATACCTAAACACGATCTGGATTCTTACTGGACCCTTTAGCCAGCCGAATGACCTTTGATTGCCCAAACACGCCCTTTTGCAAATTCCATATATGAGAAAATCAAATAGTGATTTCTCAATTTATGGCAGTGACGTATTTGAGGTTCATAAGCAAAAAAAGAGCTGGGGAACACACCACATACTCGACAGGATGCCTCGTCGCCCTGACATTTCTCCAGGTCTTCTAATTTAGTTCGCAAACAAGCGACAACAACTTCAGGAAAAACAAACAACAAATAAAATTCGAGTTAGTGCCTAAGACGCAAAACTCACAGTTTCTGAGAATCGTTTTGCCAAAAAATTCGTGACAAAAGCTGGGAGTGGCAGACCGCTAACAGGGCGACTCATGAACGCAGGTCCATTTAGTACTGATTTGTCTTGGAGAAGAGCACTGGAAATATTAATGTTTTTTCATTTATATTTCAGCATACTATTAATATTAACTAGCACTCTATCACAAGGCCGTTAAGTAAAGAGCAAGACAGCTTGAAGGGGACCCGAACACGCACTAGTGCTTTTTGGTCATCCTGCTTGAACTCTCAACGTATAAGTGAGCCGTTCACGACCGAGCCTTCCGGAAATGATTCATTGACCTTGTGATAACACTCTTACCAAGACTTCTAATTATCAACAAAGTTCGCCACTTCAACCAAAAAAATTTCAATAAAAACTTACTGCAAAGTGCTGACTTCAACCATACGCTCCAAAGCACGAGCCGCCCCTCGTTCCATCCCAACAAGGCCATCCTGTAAAAAGTCATTCGTGCAACGGTTCGCCCTCAAAAACTTGCCACAAAAGCGATATTTCAAGCTAGTAGCGTTGGTGCGACTTCATAAGCTATGACATCCAGCCAGTTACGTTAATGGTTTATCACATTAAAGTTAAGATAGCTCACTAGCCTCTACCATAACTTTGAGCAGGAAAATTACTTTCATTGGAATCTAAGCTGTTAGTTACGCAGCTAATCATTCAGGTATTGACAACCCTGGTAGACAGAATCGAACTGCGTAACTCACAGTCAGATCCCATGGAATTCACAAGAAAATTCCCACAAACCAAAAAATAGCACATGCTCTGTATAAACAGTGCTATTACAATGTAACAATAGAGAGGATAATCGGCAAGAAAGAGTAGATAAGTGGACAAACCTCAAGTTTGAAATGCTTCTGCAGTTCCCAAATAATCACTTGAGAGTCTGCTATTTGTCTACCGTTTAGTTCAATAAACGGCAGCAAGCCGCGTGTAGAACGTTGTCTATACGATCCTATAACCTAAAGCAAAATCAGACAGAATGGTATATATTAAATATGTATTTA